CTGTATCTGCCACTTTTTATATGTCCATCACTCATAGCTCCATAAAGTGGTTTAAGAAAAAGAATGAATGGGGTCCCTGGGTGGCTCAGTTGGTTGGGCGTCTGCCTTTGGCTCAGGTCATGATCTCAGAGTCCTGGGATGGAGTCTCATTTCGGGGTCCCCGCTCAGCACAGAGCCTGGTTCTCCCTCTCCGTCGGCCCCTCCCTACCAAATATTCATGCTCTCTTTCTTGCTCTCTCTATCTGAAATAAATGAATAAAATATTTTTAAAAAGAACGCACAAGGTTGAGCAGAAAACGGTATAGAAGGATGGGAGAGACCGTGTTGACAGAGGCAGGCAGGTATACAGGATGACAGGTGTACGGGGCTGGCGCATAGAGGGGGCCGACGCACGGCAGGAACTGAGGTCAGAGTGACAGGGAACATCTGAGGTGGAGATCTAGGGAGGTGCCGGGGAGACCCCCAGGGGTGGGCCAGGCAGGTGGAAAGAAGCTGAGGAGCTGCCGGGCCAGACCTGGGAGGACCCGTAGGTCATGGGGGAGGGTTTTTTTTTTATTATTATTAGTGATGATTAGTATGATGAAGCCAGAGGGATGTGTGATCTGAGGGATGTGTTCCATGGGTGACTGTGGACAATTCTGGAGACCTAAGACGTGGGCTGGGGGCCAGGGGAGCACCGGGGGTGCCCCCAAGACCTCAGTCCTGGCACCCGGGTAAGAGCAGGCGGTGCCTTGGGCCAGGGAAGTGTTGGTGCATGTTGGTGAAAAGACACACATTCAGCATTTCATGTGCAGAAGAGACAAGATTTGCCGCTAACCATGGGACGTGCATGGGAAGGCACAGTTAAGATTTGGGGTTGGGCCTTTCCACCGACCCCATTCCCCTGGAATCCTGAGAAGTATTACGTGGCCCTCCGCGCAAGTACCCCAACTCCAAATGGGAAATGAGGGAAGGAATAAAGCCTCAGACGTGCCCTCCGCGCCGTGGTCCTCTCCTCTATGGACGAACTCCCACGGCCGCACCTGCGTCCCCCAGGCCTCGGGGAGCACCTGCTGACCGCCCACCCCAGCACCCAAGCATGTCCCAGCCATCTGCACAGTCACGGAGCAGGATACCTGTGCAGAAGGAATGAGTTTACCTGGAGAATTCACTGTGCAAACCACATCTGCTCCTGGCCAGCCAGCGCTGGCCTCCCGGGACTGAGAAGACGACTCCATTTGAATGGATTATACCACACACCTGCGTTACGTTGAGCTTGTGCTTACGAGGGGCCCCGAGAAGCTGCCAATGTGCTGGGACACAGCAAGGGGGCCCACCCCAGGCTCTGGAGACTCCTTTCAGGGGTCTGGGTCGGGGTCCAGGAAGTTCCTGCGTCTCTAAGGCAGGGATGTCCGTGTCTTGAAGACGCTGTCACAGGCCCGCCGTGATCAGAGCAGGCTGTGCTGTGTGGTACAGTGGTCATACAGCTGGTGTCACCAGGGTGCCCCTCGGAGCCCGGTTCTGGGGAGCTGCTGGGGCCCAATGGGGAGCAGGGCACAGGCTCTGCTCTCATGGCTCATCCAAGCTGTAAGTGGGCAGCTTTCGTTTCAATGTAACAATCGAGCAGGGAGTTCTAGCTCTGCCCATTCCCAGCTGCTCAGGCCAGCACCCAGGGGCGTCCAGGACACTCCTGTTCCAAGCCCTGCCCAGAGTTCCTAATCAACCCTTGGCTACTAATGCACAAACCTTCTCCTGGGCGCTCTGATTGGTATGTCCCCTCTTTGCGGCCCAAACCTTCCTTTCGCACAACCACCACCTCAACAAGGCACATGAGAATTGAAATTCTGACAGAAACAAATAAAATATCACTAAAGTTTCCAATAACAGAGGATAAATATATTTTTCAGGTCAGCGTGACTTTTCAACCAACAAGGATTCCACTCCTTATAAAAGACGTTCCCGGGATGCATGTCATCTCACCCGGGAAGCCAGCCCCACGGGACACAAGTAGACTGACACCCACCTTGGGTCACCATTGTTCCCGTGACCCCAGCCAGTGACCCAGGACACAAGGGCTTGACCAAACGCGGGACTCAAGACTGTGGCTCACAGCTAGAACCCAATTTAACACTTACGTGTTTAACTCAAGCTCTTACGAGTTAAGGTTCCTTTTAGTAGTGACACCATTCTGTTCCTTGGGCATGGAAATTTTAGTTGCGATCATGGTTTTTATCTCCTGGGACACAGGTTTCAGCCCCTGCCTAATTCCTCCTCTCATCTCAGATCTGTCTAGACAGCATGCCCAGTCAAGCCGGGAGCCCCTCAGGACCTCATGGCAGCATCAGATCTCCACCGTACCCAAAATCTCTACTCCTTTATGGTTCCCCCCCTCAACACGCACACAGTTACTGATGTCACTCAATTACACTTCATATGCCCCGTTCCCACTAACTCAGATCTGTAGTATTTGATGCTTTTACCTTTATACCTTGTACAAGAGTAAAACGTGAAGTTACAAACCAAATGTTCCCTTTCACTCTCTCCCCCTCCCCAAACCTCCAATCACTCCTTGTTTTGCACACGCGCGTGCGCACTCACAGTTTCTGTTCTCACTCATTTTCAGCAAGCGTCCACAGAACAGGGACACATGTTCAGTCTCCTACATCCCATAAATAGCCTCTCTCAGCGTCTTTCCACCCATGGGATTTCCATCCCTACACCTTCACGGGACCAGCTCTCCGGAGGCGACCAGCCTAAGCCCTGCCTTCTCCCACCTCCTAACACCCCACGCAGGATGGCTCCCTGACGGGCTTGACTGCCATCTTTATCCAGGGGAAGGCTAGAGCGTTTCGCTCACCCTCCTTCTCCTGAGCTTGTCCCTCTCCTTTTCTGAATCCTACGGCACATTTTCATCCAACATGCGACTCAAACCAGGCATCTCTGCACCTGTACACACTGTTTTACCCTTTCTCTGAACACGTGTTTCTCCTGACTTAGTTCTTATAATCCCATCGGGACCAACCAGGACCGTCCTTTGTTCTTAAGACCTCAGATTTCTGATCTATAACCTTTAAACTCTTTCTCTACATTTCCTTACTTGTCAAGTTCTTTAAATTCTCTCCTTTCCCCACTACTAACGCCTCAACCTTTTCTCTCATCTGCGTGCATGTTGTAATTTCATTTTTTCCCCTCCAGAGTCATGCTAGTCTTACATGTGAGCGACCAACTTCCAACAGGTCACTTGACTGCAACCCGCCCTCTGCCCTTTCGCCCACAGCTTCCCAATTATTTAGTCTAATACATCACTTTGATCACGACATTCTCGTTCTCCAAGAGAGGTAAAGGCTATCTATAAGGAAAGTGTATAGTCCTCACTCTGTTAGACAAGGTCAAGCAGAATTTGGCCTCAACCAACCGCGGTTGTCTCTCTACACTCACCTTTACGACAAGGTCAAACTGGACTCTGCCACTGAACTTGAAAGGACGCTATGATTCTCCCGAATTGCTAATAATACAGTAGCTTTCAATCAAACTTTTGCCCATCCTTCAAGATCCGTGGTTCGCGACACCTGCCCAGGAAGCAGTTCTGCTCGTGCCCTTCAGAAGTGACCTCTCACTTCCTGCAGCAGTAGAAGGAGGGCTTTGTTGTCAACCAGACCTAGAGCCACAGCATGGCCCACGGCCTATCCTGCTCAGAGCCATCGCCAGTAGGTGATTTCTCTTAACCTTGGTTTTCTAATCAGTGAAGTAGGTTAATACTGGCCGCCTTACAAAACCGCTGTGAAAAATGAAATGACACCATGGGTGTTACATCTTGACTGGAGACCCCCATACACTCCAGGCACTTACTGATAGGGCTCTGCTGTCCATCATCTGAGGGACCTCCGTGTTTTTCCTATTTTTGTTAGGCATGCATACTTTCACTTTTGTATATTACCTACTATTGTTCCAACATAATTAAAGTGTCACAAAATAATTTAATCCTGTTTTATTAAAAACTTGGTGGATAAAGGGGGTGCCTGGGTGGCTCAGTGGGTTAATGCCTCTGCCTTCAGCTCAGTCATGATCCCAGGGTCCTGGGATCGAGCCCCACATCGGGCTCTCTGCTCAGCAGGGAGCCTGCTTCCCTCTCTCTCTCTCTGCCTGCCTCTCTGCCTACTTGTGATCTCTCTCTGTCAAATAAATAAATAAAATCTTAGGAAAAAAAAAAACTTGGTGGATAAAGGAAAACAAATATGGAAGTAAAAGATAGGGCCGGGGTAAACCAAGAACATGAGGGTAAAATCGCTCCACGTTTATGCCCATGAAGACTGACGCTTCAACAAGTACATCTTGTGAATAAATTATCATAGGTGTGGCCTGCTGGTGCTTATACACTTGATGTCTTTATGACTTTTTTTTTCCTTTTTTTTAGGAATCTGGAAGAATTTGATAAATTACAATTTATCCCACCACAGGAAGCAATAACATCCCCTTAAATCAATAGTTTCACTCTGGATTCCAGAAATGAACTTGTGTCAATTTTTCAAAATAAGTCTTCTTCAAATAAATACCAAATAATGTCATTATTTCGGGATAGGAAAGCACAGGCCATGAGTCCTCGATCGGCTTAGATAATTGATGAGTTGAGGGCCCAGCACAGAAGAGATGATGATGTTTGCCTTCCCTACAACATGGGTAATCTATACTATCTACAAGATTACTCCATATAAAAATGTCCTAAAAAAGAAATCATTCTTGGTTCTGTAAGATTAAAGTCACAAGGGGGGACTCTCCATCATCTCTTGCCCCTCACTGTGAAGATTTGGTCATAAGTGCGAGAAGCTAAGACCAGTTAATGATCCCGAACAGAGGCCAACAGGGCCTACCACTTCGCATGTATTTATATGGGAACAGGCTGCCCTAGGAAAACCTTCTCACTACGCTTCACATTCATAGGCTTGATCTTTTCTACCTCCTCCACCTTTAAATACATTGTGTTTTGAGAGCGGCGAATGATAACGCATGAAAAACGACATTACCGTATTGTCTCCAGTCCCGGTTGGGTGGTAAGTGTCTCCACAGTATCAGGTTGTTCAGATGATTCAAGTAGGAAGGTAGGGAATGGAAGCCCTTCTGATTGTACCACACCTACAAGAGAGAGGTGACATAACGGCTCTCGTGAAATTAGTTCTTCAGTCTTTGTCAGTAATTCCTGGACACGAAGGACACGTGTCCGTTAGGTTCAACAGCACCTGAATGTCGAGCCCAGCACCGTGTCCCCGCACGGCTGGCAGAGAGCAGTGAAATTCTCTGTCCGCTAATTTTATATTTATCTCAAGCATATAATTTCTAGCTAAAAATAGATGAATTTTCCCCAGAACAAATGTGAATGTTGCCCTATAATTATATTCTCACAGCGAAAAAAGAACCTAAACCCATCATTTTTTTTTCTTTCCTGGTTGGTAAGCTAATAAAATTTGACCTGCAAATTAAAAGCGGAGAAAATGATCAGAAAAAAATGATTACTTTCAAATTAATAACTGGATGCGGAACATTATTTCTCAAAATAAATGGAACTGAGCATTTGCTGAGCGTGGAGAATAAAGTAGCGTGTCCGTTGGACAGGCAGAAGACGGAAGAGAAAACAGGAGACAGACAGTGTTATTACAGCCGAGATAATAAGGAGCAGGAAAAAGGACTAATTGAACCATCAGCATCTGTATTTCGAGATATCAATATTTTAATGAACTTTTTTTTTTTTTTTTTTTTTTTTTGAAGTACACTCAGCGTGGAAAGCTGGGGAGCTGTCTTGGAGAGATCTGAGGACGTCACTGGCCACTTCTGGTCTTGACTCCATTGACTGGACAGCTCGCTTCTCTAGCGCTGTCTTTTCCAACCCAAAACCATTCTCTGCGGAAGCAGATCTGATCCCCATAAAGTCAGAACCTGCTCAGAAGAACCTATCCAGGCCCTCACCGTTTGCAAAGCTAGGGCCACACCTCAAGTCCCTGGCTCCCAACTGTGTTTCTTTTCCACTTCATGCCACTAGGACCCATTGTCTTCCCACCAGGATCCCAGGGGGCAGCTGTGTGTTCATGAGAATGGCTAAGGGACACACTCTCTCTCATGTACTTTCAAAAAAACAAGGTTTTTTCCAGACAAGGTTCCCTGAGTCTTTCTCCCGTAGCTCACTTCCTTAAGCAATTCAGAAAACAGACCCCTTTCTCTTTCATGCCAGCTACTCAACCTCCTCTTGAAATAGTTTAAGGTCATAGAGATATTTTTGCGAATCTTTTTTTTTTTTTTTAAACTCCAAAGAGGAAGGCATCCCATTTGGGCAGGACTAACAATGGGACCTAGGACATCGTACGGACTTCTAGGGTGAGTCTGAGCAGATCTAAGATTGTGTAACAAAATTTTTTTTAATTTTTTTATGTGTGCATTTTTTAAGTAAGCTCTACGCCTAATGTGGGCTTGAACTCATGACCCCAGATCAAGCATTGCCTGCTCCACTGACTGAACCACCCAGATGTCTCCAAACTTTAAAGACACAAATGTTTGTTTGCAAACTTACAGATGTGTGTAATTCACACACTTCATTCTGAAAAGCATGGGAAGGCACAGTTTCTGTGATGGGGGGGTTGGCACTGAACTGGGGGCTCATGTCACAGACCAGGGGCACCTCGTGCGTCCAACAAGGATTCCTCCCATGCAGACCCATCCTGCCACCCCCAGGCTCTCACACACAGGTATTCCCATATTTCTGGAAATAACAGAAAGCTGGGATCCTGCTGAAGTCAAGGGACAGGTGAACACAATAGGAAAAACCCTGCCGGTGGACACCAGAACTCCTGGGATCGATGTCTGGGACCTGGCTCTGCCCCACGCCGTGGCTCCCTGACTGCTTCACTGGAGGGCAAGAGGAGAGACTATAGTGGCCTTTTCCCTAGGTCAAGGTTTTCTGTTTTCATTGTGTTTCATTTGTTTGTTTTAATCTAATTTATTTAAACGCAGGGTGGGGTTTTTTTGACTGAAGAATGACATGGAACATGGGTATGGAGACTGAGGTGTCGTTGCTGTGGTCAGTGGCAGTGAGGCCGGGAGCCCACTCACACCCCATCCCACTCTCCGGAGGCTCAGAAACACCTGTGTCTGATTGCATTTACGACCCCACTTCCTCCACACTCTCTGTGCAGCCCTGTGCCTCCCACCTCTGAACATGGGCTCAGTTGCGTGGCTCGGTCACGTGGCTCTCTCTGGCCAACGGAATGTGGCACAGGGTGGGTTTGAAAACAGCTCCCCGGTGCCTGCAGCCCCTCTACGCCTCTGATGAATGGAGTCGCCGACATCATGCTGGGGAGGCCACAGCCAGCCCCCCACACTTGGTCATGAGTGACCAGGTCCATGCCGCCGAGCCTCCAGCAGGAGGATCCCTGGACTCCGGACCTGATAAAGACGTACTATGGCAGCCATGGGGATCCAAGGCAGCATCTTACACAGCGCTGTTGTGGCAACGGGTGGCTGATACACACATTGGTACCGTACTCACAGAAACCTCATTACTGTCACTAACACGGAAAATAGATGGCATTGGTTTTAAGATCAGCATGTGGGTGACGAAGAAACATTTAGAGAAATCTGGAAATTATGGGAGAAAAACTTTAGAAGTACAAGGGGGGAATGGCAAGAAAATTGATATCGATAACAGAAGAGATGCAGTTCAAAACATCTGGTAAAGCATCACCTGTGTTAACTTCAAAGATAGAAATTGCGCCCAATGCACTCCTTGGCTGGGGTCTGCAGGTCTGGAGACAAAATGCCAGGAGATGGCCCCAGAATGGAGACCAAGTCAGGGGTGTGGCAGCCGGAAGCTGCAGGGGTGGTGCTAAGTGACCCTCTCAGGGGGACAGAAGGTCATCTGGGAACCTAAGGGGGACGCCCAATTGTACCCTGACAGTCCCAAAACAGGGCATCCGTTCAGCAGGAGCGGCGTGTCTCAGCAAGAACCATGTGCAGCCACGGACCTCAAGGAGATAAACAGCCCACAGGACCTCCCAGGGAGCGAGGTCAGGAGGGTCCTGCCAGCAGAGGACACCAAGGGAAAAGGGCTCTGAGCCCAGCTCTCTACAGGCAGGAAGCAGCCTGTTGCCCAAAAGGCATATTTCCAAATGTCCCCTCATAGGTGGCCATCGAAGATGACAAAGAAGCAAGGGACAGAGAACAACCAGGGGCCGTGGAGAAGGTAGAGCGAGACCACACCCAGGGAGCAGGACCAGCGCCAAGTGAACGGGCCTCAGCCCGGGAAGGGACGCCGGGAACACTTGCTGAGCATGGGCCCCTCGGACCAGTGAGCTCAACCAACGTTCCTTGTTGATGCTGGTGATGGCCTGTGGTTCTTTGCCATACAGAATCACCTTGCCAGGGAACGAGTAATTCACAGAGGGGGAGCATTCTTGACCTTCATTTCAGTTCTGTTAACTGGCCCTTCCTTGGGATGTATTTTAAATTCTTTAGGTAAGTAATATATACTTTACGGTGATCTGAAAATTAACATTTCAGACTTAGCAGAGTCCAAAGGAAGAGCTTTATTTCCTTCCTCCCTTTCTCCCTGTCCCCCTTGTTCCCTGTCCCCCTCCTTCCCTTCCTTTTCTTCTCTGAAGAATGATTTTCTAAAACACGAGGCTGTGTTCTGCAAATAAGATGTGGGATTTCCTTCCCCGCCAGCCTGGAAGTCAGGACGCAGGAAAATCTGGTCACCGACGGAGGACGTTAATCTGCTTTCAAGAACACATTATGACACCTCAAAACAGACCTTTCCTCTCAGAAAGCATGAGTAACCGTGTTTCAGAAAAGCAACTAAGTAGCTGTTTCAGAAAATCAACTAAGAAAAAATCCCTCCATGGACGTTCAAGCGTCTCAAATCCCTCTGAGCATTGAAGACTGTATGTCAAACCCTGGGCAGGGAATGGCGGCCTTATCTGAAGTGCCTACATTCTAGAAGGTGTTTGGATTAAACAAGCTGAACACTCCAGATGTGTACAAATAACAAACACAGGCCCCAGGACAGCCATTCTACAACATAATACTTTCATTCACCCTGGTCTATTTCTATGCAAATTTCCCATTTTCTCTACAAAGAGGCTATGGAAATCAGACAGCCTCTTAAAATTGTACCCTAAAGGCCAAAGCCAAGGCCAGGGGTAATTCCTGAAAAGGGAATGCAATGATTTAGTATGACATCAGCTACCAAGAGCTCCTGGGGACCTGCAGACGGCAACGCCTTCACAGCCACTGCGGCACCCTGACTCCCTAGCTCCTTACAAAGGGGCTCGTTCCCCAGACACCCCGATACAAGGCACATGCTGGCCTGGGCCTAGAAAATGACATTTGAAACCGCAGAAGTGGGACATCTGGGGGGCTCCGTCAGTAAAGCATCTGCCTTTGGCTCGGGTCATGATCTCAGAGTCCTGGGATCAAGACCCCACATGGGACTCCCTGCTCAGCTGGGAGGCTGCTTCTCCCTCTCCCTCTGCCTGCCACTTCCCCCTGCTTGTGCCTGCGCTCTCTCTCGCTCTCTGACAAAAAAAAAAAAAAAAGAATAAATTCTTAAAAAAAAAAAAAAGAAAAGAGAAAAAGGAGCAGGTTCCGGGAAGCCCAGACTGCCGGTCCCACATGGCTGCATACCTACTCGCTCTGAAGCCTGTTTTGGACTGGTATAGATTGAAAAGGTAAATACTCTCAGAAGAAATGAACAGATTCCTTCTACCAATTTGGCACGGTTTAGTACTAACTGTATCAGACGTTCAAGAAGCCAGCCAAGGTATTTTAGATTATTTTTCTCCCAAGCTAGGAATCCTGATATTTTCCTCGTGAGCTATCAATCTTCTCCTGGGTGCTGCCCTCAGAGGAAGAGACAGGAAGAGTCCTCAGCTAAAGGAGGGATTTGTGACCAGGGGTACATGGCGACAGACATTCTTTGTCCGCGATTACCTAGTGAAATACGACGGTTAAAACTACCATTGGGGATTATACTGTGAATCATGAATGTGAAAACTTGCTCAGGGATTACACTCTGAAATACTTGTGAAGACGCTTGGTTCCACCGAGGGGAGCAGCCACTCGCCCTTGTCGTGGTCCACGAAAGTCCCACCACAACGCAGGACCCCACCGCCACCACACTCTACTCTTTCTAGATGTCTCTCCCAGTAGGCACCCACACCAAACTAGTTCACCCATCCCTGGGAATGAAAGCTTTGAATCTCTGGTCTTTCCCCATCTGAAGACAGTGTCCTTCTTTCCTCGGAGAATTTCTGCTGTGAGTCACCACCTCTGAGTTACCACTGGTAGACCAAGGCGTGTTTCCTCGGATCCACTCCCTTCCCACACAACTAACAAGCCCTCCCACGTATTCTCGGCGATGCCGAGGGAAACATTTCTAATTCTCTGGGATTGTCTCAGCAGGTCTTGAAAACCAGATCCATACTAGCAATTCTGAGTAGAAACCTCTTCTCTGTGCTGGCTCTCAGTCCACCCAGCCTTCATAGTAACAAATGCTGGGGTCTGATTCGGTTCCTCTCATGCCTGTGAATATATATCTGCATGCCACGTTTCCCCAAATGCTCTCTAACACAGGAAGGAAAAAGAGGGAACTCTTACCTTCGCCAGAGTGTCCGGCTGCGATGTATTTGGATTTGCATCTTGACCTTGATCAGGGATCTGCACCCCGAAAGACCAGCCCCCAAGCCTGATAACAGGAACAGGTGTTAGTGCTTTATTTTCTATTTTATTTACTTTTTTAAAAGATTTTGTTTATTTGACAGAGAGAGAGAGAAAAGGTGAGCACACACAAGGGGAGGGGGGAGAGACAGGCAGAGGGAGAGGGAGAAGCAGGGTCCCCACTGAGCAGGGAGCCTGATGCAAGTCTTGATTTCTGTTTGCTGGGATCATGACCTGAGCCGAAGGCAGCGGCTTAACCCACTGAGCCACCCAGGCGTCCCCTGATGCAAGTCTTGATACCAGGACTCTGGGATCATGATCTGAGCCGAAGGCAGATGCTTAACTGAGCCCCTGAGGTGCCCCAGGAGTCAGTGCTCTAACCATTGAGCCAGGACGTCCAAGCACAGGACACTCCGTCACCATTAAGTAGTTAGGATGGCCTGAGAACGGCAGCCCCCTAATCATCCACCTTTGGTGATACAACCGCACAGGGGCTCAGGGTACAGACGGGCTTGGTGGGGCTCCTGAATCAGACGTCCATGGCGGACCTTGTGTATTCAGCAAGTGGCTAAGACTTGCCGTACTGGAAGGTGTCCTACGGGTACTGACACTTTGTTAGGAAATGCCCATCATGTCCAGGACGGGGTGATCACCAGCATACTAACTATTTTAATTAAAAGTCACTCCTCCTGCAGATTGGCTATTCTGATTTACATAATCATAATTTACATAGTTTACATAATTTACATAATTCACATAATCCATCACTCTTTCAAGCTACCCCGTTTTGCACTGTTTTGCTTCCCTTCTCTGGCTTCTGTCCTGTCCAACGCCCACATCACCCCAACCAGGAAGGTGTCCAGAGGACTTCAGCTGGGGCTGACTTCTTCCTCTTTGGGCTCTCACAACACCCAACATCCCCAAGCATTGATTCACCTGTCATCCCGGGTTTCCACGGACTGTCTGCTGGTTTATCGCTCACGCAGCTCTGTGAACTTCCCTGGGTGGGGACAACACCTTTTCCCTCCGTATCCCACGGGCTGTGCTCTGCAGTATCTGGAACCTACAGAGCTTCCAAAACTGTGGGGCATTAAAAAGGAAGGCTCCTACTTAACTCTGGATAGAGTAAGACTGAAGAACAGCCTTCCGTGGACAGTCCCGCTGCCCTGAGCAGAACTGAGGCAAAGGAATAAGGATACATTCCCACTGGGCTCAGTGCATTCATTCACTCACTCATTCATTCATTCATTCATTCCAGGGTGAATTCATTTGAGAGACAATGAATGAGCACCTTCTAGGTGCTAGATATTATGCTGAGCCCTAGACATACAAGCCCCGCCTTTGCCTGGGACATGTATAAAAACATAAGAGGTGACCCTGGGGGTGTCTGGGTGGTTCAGTCAATTGAGCTTCTGACTCTTGATTTCCGCTCAGGTCGTGATCTCAGGGTCATTGGATCGAGCCCTGCATCAGCCTCCGTGTGCAGCTTGGGCTCTCTCTCCCTCTCTCTCTCTCTCAAATAAATAAATCTTTAAAAGAAAAAAAAATAAAAAATAAAAAGATCTAAGAGGGGGGCAGCAGGAGAGGCAGCAGAAGCACACTGGGAGGTGGCGGGGGAGGAAGCGCTGCTGGGGCAGCGAAGGTAAAGAAGACGCAGGAAAAGTCACAGGGTGTTCCAGGCCCTGCAGAAGGGCCCAGGAGGCTTCTGTATTGAAGAAACAGGATGCACTTGAGGTCCCAGGAAATCTGCTGGCGTGGCAAACGTGGCCTCAGTCGAAAGTAATGAGCTGTGCCCATCCCCACACTCCTCGTCCGGATGCCCACCCCCACCAGGCTCAAGGAGATTCAGCATCAGCCTTCCCAGAAACTGCCTAGGATGGTAGTCGGCCCCATGTCCGTGTGTCAGATGCTGCACAGAGAGGGAGATCTCAAAGGAGACCATTTCATCATGCTGGGATGTTAGCTGCCCTTAACCTCCAAATAGGTAAACCACCTCTCGGCTCCCGCGAGGGAATCTCCATTGATAGGACCCCCGCCCCACCCCCACCCACCACGAGGGAGAGAGAAAATCAGCAGTGAGCAACCTTGTTAAGGTCAGCAGCATTTCTTTGGAATTTTTATGAGCATCCACGTTAAACATTTGACTTTTTTGAGTTTTTAAGAATGCTGGCATTTGAGGGGGTGCCTGGGTGGCTGAGTTGGTGAAGCATCTGCCTTCGGCTCACATCGTGACCCCAGGGTCTTGGGATCAAGTCCGACATCAGGCTCCCTGCTCAGCCAGAAGCCTGCTTCTCCCTCTCCCTCTCCTGTTCCCCCTGCTTGGGCTCTCTCTCTCTCCCTCTCTCTCAAATAGATAAAATCTTTAAAGAAGGAAAAGAAGAAAGAAAGAAAGAAAGAAGAAAAAAAGAGAGAAAAGAGAAAAGAAAAGAAAGGAAAGGAAAAGAAAAGGAAAGGAAAGGAAAGGAAA